GGTGCGGCGGCGGCCTGCCTGGCTGCCAACGATCCCGTGAGGAAGTTGGATGACGAGATCGCGGAGTTGTGCCGCGAGCTGGAGGCCCTGTGCTCGGCCACCACAGCCCACAAGAGCGAGGTGGCCAGGCGCGAGGGCATCGCGCGGCCCGCGCTAGACTCGCTGGCCGACGGCCAGAAGCCGTCGAGCGGGCGGAGGCAGGGGCTGCGCCTGGGCGCCGCAAGGCTGCAAGCAGGCGGCGCCATCCGACTCGGACGGCGAGGAATTGATCTGCGACGTCGAGTCCTGCGTGACGGGCGGGAGCGACGAGGGAGACCTAGCCCCGCAGGACGTCACAGCCTCGGAAGCGTCCTCATTCACCGGAGTCTGGGCGGAGTCCATGCCTGTGCCGGGCACACTGTGCACGTGCGGGGCCGTCGCCTTCTCAGCAAGGCCGAGCGTCCGGGCGACGTGAAGGTGCAGCAGCTTGGGGTGGAAACAATGGCGACGGGCGTCCTCAGGGCCACGGCTCCCTGTTTCGCACCGCTGGGGGCGATGCACCCCGAGGTCATCGAATGTCATCCTCGGGCGCATCGCGAAGCGCGAGCTCAGCCATTCGTGCGTCGCAGGGCCTTCATCGACAAGCTGGAGTCCGCGGCTGTTCAGTTTCCCACCGCGCGGTCCTGTCCCTCCAGGGCGGACGGCTGTGCGGATGACACGGACACGGCCTGCGTCGTGCACCGCGGGGATGCTGCAGGGTGAGGCCGAAGCTACTGGAAAAGTAACCTGGCGTGTGAAATGAAGGTGAATCGCTGCGACGCCACAGAGCGCATACTGGGAGGAGGAAGGGATGTAAACAGATCCTTTGGCTAAAATTAGAATGAGGCCAGCCGACCGCTAACTGGTAGGTGTCCGGAGTGCTGTGAGCTAGATGGGAGCCAGAGTCTGAGGGGAAACACCGAAAGCCGTAGGAAGACGGAGTCGGAAAGATGAGAAAAAGGGTCGGAGAGATGGCAGCCCGAGTCGGAACTGTAATCAGAATGGCGGGCACTGGAGTCGGAAACATAATCGGAGAGGTAACTTGGAGCTGGAGTCGGAAACATGGGAGCATGCGCCGAAAAGATGGTAGCCCGAGTCGGAACTGTAGCCAGAATCGCGGGCGTCGGAATCTGAAGCATAAGAGCTGGAGCCTGAGAGGTATAGAAGCTGGAGTCGGAGAGGTGAACGCCCGAGTCGAAGCCGGAAAGGTGGGAGAAGGCCTCGGAAAGATGGTAGCTGGAGTCGGAACTTGAGTCCAGAAGGCGGGTGCAGGAGTCGGAGTCATGTGGGCTGGAGTCGGGAGGTAGCCGAGGTCGGAGAGATACTGGGAATCGAATAGAAGTGAACGGGCGTCGGAGAGACGGTTGCTGGAGTCGGAATCGAATTGGAACAGTGGGAGCCACAGTCGTAAAGATGGGAACTGGAGTCAGGCGAAGACGGGCGCCGGGATGGGGGAGACGGGGGCGACAGTCTGAAAACAGGGAACAGGAATCGGATAGAGTGGAGCTGGAGTCGAAAAGCTGGTAGCCAGAGTCGGAGATATGACAGCCACAATTGGAGACATGAAGACAAGCATCAAAGTCGGGGATACGGGATCCAGAGTTGGGAGCAGGAGTCGGAGAGATGAGAGCCAGAGTCGCAAAGCCAAGGCAAGCGGAGCACGTCGCGGTGGTGACCGAGGCCCTTGCCTACTAGGTGCCTCGGGGACTCCCACCTGATCAAGGGGAGGAGCGCCTTTTCACTTCGATCAAGGGCTTCGCCATGTCGTTTGGTCGACTTTTCACTTCGATCAAGGGCTTCGCCATGTCGTTTGGTCGACTTGCGGCTTCTAGTTCATCGTTGATTTTCCAGCGCTGGCCTCCACGTGTTTGCCGTTTTGTCTCGTTATTCGAGTGGGGCTTCATGGAATTGTATGTGGCTGAGGTTGTACTGTGGGGCCTCCTATCGAGGGCGATGATTATGAGAGAGGGTCACTCATTTCCATGGATGGATCTCTCAAGCTCTCCGCAGCCTCTGGCGGTGCGCGTTGCGAGCAGGAACACGGTAAAGCCCCAGGAAAGCGCGGCATCGACAGTGTAGCCCCACACACGTAACAGACGTGAACGAGCAACAGCGCGGCAAAGCCCCAGGAAAGCGCGGCATCGGCAGTGTAGCCCCACACACGTAACAGACGTTAACGAGCAACAGCGCGGCAAAGCCCCAGGAATGCGCGACATCGACAGTGTAGCCCCACACAGGTAACAGACGTTGACGAGCAATAGCACGGCAAAGCCCCAAAAGAGCGAGGCACGAACAGTGTAGCCCCACACACGTGACAAACGTTAACGAGCAACAGCACGGCAAAGCCCCAATAGAGCGAGGCAGGGACAGTGTAGCCCCGCGCAAATGACAAACGTTAACGAGCAAGAGCACGGCGAAGCCCCAGAAGAGCGAGGCATGGACAATGTAGCTCAACAGTAGGGGGAACCAAAAGGTACCGATACCGCTACTCCCCAGACCTCTCCTGGGGTGACCAGGATTTCGAGGCGAATCCAGTGGTGGCGACGAGGGCCTCCAAGGATGCCCAAAAAAGGGGAAACGATGCAAGGATAGTAGTATTGGTACCTTTTCCTCCTCTGAGAGCAAGACCATGCTCCTCTGAGAGCAAGACCACAGCAGAGCCCCAGGAGAGCGAGGCATTGACAGTGCAGCTGAACATTGACGCGGCGCTGGCTGGGGATGAGGGGCAACGATACAGGGGGGGATAGGCATGGGGGGGGACATCGACCTGGAATCGGCGATACATCGCCGATAGATCGGCGATAGGCCCCCGATAGCGAAACCGCACCTTCTTGGCGGGGCGGGGCTATGGGGCCGGCGATTAAGTGGCGATTGGGGGTCGACGCATCCTCCCCTATGCTCATCCCCCCTATCATCAGCATCAGCATGATAAATATTATCAGCATCATCAGTATTATCATCATCAGCTCAGCAGCAACAGCACCAGCATCAACATCATCATCATCATCATCATCATCATCATCACCACCACCACCACCATCACCATCATCATCATCATCCTCATCATCATCATCATCATCATCGTCGTCGTCGTCGTCGTCGTCATCGTGATCATCATCAGCACCATCGTCATCATCATTATCATCATCATCATCATCATCATCATCATCATCATCATCATCATCATCATCATCGTCGTCGTCATCGTCATCGTCATCGTCATCATCATCGTCATCATCATAATGATCATCATCATCATCATCATCATCATCGTCATCGTCATCGTCATCGTCATCGTCGTCATCAGCATAATCCTCATCATAGTCATCATCATCAGCATCATCATCATCATCATCATCATCATCCCCATCATCATCGTCGTCATCAGCATCAGCATCATCATCCTTACCAGCAGCAGCATCACCACCACCATCATCATCATCAACATCATCATCAGCATTAGCATAATCATCATCATCATCATCATCATCATCATCATCATCATCATCATAATGGGCCTCATCCTCATGATGGTTATCCTCATCATCGTCATCATCAGCACCACCACCACCATCATCATCAGCAGCATCATCATCATCCTCATCATCAGCACCATCATCATCCTCGCCCCCCCTCCTCCACCTCCCTCGTTCCCTCCCACTCCTCCCCCTCCTCCTGATCCTCATCTTCCTCATCCTCCTCAGCCTCATCCTCCTCATACTCCTCATCCCTCCTTGTGCTCCTCCAACTCCCCCTCCTCCTCTTCACTTCTTTCTCCCCCTCGTCCCTCATCATCCTGCCAGGGCAGCCTGTCGACTGGGTCTGCATCATCGACGGTGAGGTCGATCGTCCTCGCCTCGGTGTCCTGACACACGCACACACACACACACGCACACGCCAGGACTCTCTTCCTTCCAAAGACAAGCGAGTAGTGAACAAAACACGACGGAAGGTTTTGAGCGACTTTCGATTCTCTTATCGTGCCCTCGGACTGTCAAAAGACCGAGTCAGGAGGAAAGGCTGTCCCTGGAGAAGGCGTCGAGAGGTCTGGGAGTCCTCGGTGCGAAACATCACCACGTTGGGGGTCTGGGTCACCAGTCTCTTCGGGGCGAGCGGGGCCACTTCGTCTCAACGGCCGGCCGCGACCCAGCCCGGCAAGCACGGCGGGTTGGCGCCCGCCACGGGGTCCGGGGATGGCTGTGCTGACCTGGTTCTCGACTGGGGGAGGGGAGCACGAGCTTGACGGTCTCAAATTACAATGTGTGTGATGCTCACGTGAAAGCTGAAAAAGAATTCGTACGAAACGGGGGTTCTCATCAGAAAACTGATCGATCCCCCATGGGGCATGCCTCATTCCCCAGAGACGGTGTAATTCGCATACGAAGGATGATTCTGGGGAATCGGCAGGAATGGGCTTTCGGGTGCCCGCAGGAACTCTTGAGGAATCCCGCGGAGATCCTCAGGAATTAAAAAGGAAGCCACCAGGATGTTACGAATCCTCAGGACTCCTTAAGACTCCGCGGGAAGCCCTCGGACGGATAATCACGCATCCTGTAAGACCCATCAGATTCCCCGGGCGTCCTCAGGAAACAGCTCTGATGAAGTCCCCTGGAATCCATAGGTAATTCACAAGAATCCAAAAGGAAGCATCAGGAATCCCATAAGAATCCCACAGGAATCCGAAGGAATCCCAGAAGATAACAAATCTTCAAGAATCCCTCAAAATTCTTCAGACACCCTTGAGACTCCTCAGGAATCCCCGGGAACACTCTAGAATCGTTTGAAAACGCCTGTGGTCCTCTGGAAGAAGCCCCAAGAAGACCTCTAGCATGGAGCCGAACAGGTTTTCAGCCAAAGCCCCAGGCCCCCCAGAGTAGCAAACAGGGCCCTACGACTCCTACTACTACTACTACTACTACTACTACTACTACTACTACTACTACTACTACTACTACTACTACTACTACTACTACTACGACTAC